TTTTTTTTGGGGGGGGGAGTGGGAGAAATTAGGGGGTTAAATGTTTTTACAAGAATTGTTTATGTAAAGTAGTTTTCCAGGGTAGTTTCACTACTGAGTTATCCACTGTGCTTCAGCAGGTACCTGGAGTTCTCCACTATGTTCTGTTAAGTACCTGGAGTTCTCCACTGTGCTTCAGCAGGTACCTGGAGTTCTCCACTGTGCTTCAGCAGGTACCTGGAGTTCTCCACTGTGCTTCAGTAGGTACCTGGAGTTCTCCACTGTGCTTCAGCAGGTACCTGGAGTTCTCCACTATGTTCTGTTGAGTACCTGGAGTTCTCCACTGTGCCAACCTTGAGTTCTTCTCTGTGCTCCAGTGAGTACCTGGAGTCCTCTACTGTACTGTAGTAAATACCTGGAATTCGCCACTTTGCTCCAGAGAGTACCTGGAGTTAACCCCCGTGTTCTAATGAGTACCTTGAATTCTCCACTGTGCTCCAGTGAGTACCTTGAGTTCTCTACTATTTTCTGTTGAGTTCCTGGAGTCACTGTGCTCTAGTAAGTACCTGGAATTCTCCACTTTGCTCCAGAGAGTACCTAGAGTTATCCCCTGTGCTCTAGTGAGAACCTTGAGTTCTCCACTGTGATCTAGTGAGTACATGGTCTTCTCCACTGTGCTCCAGTGAGGACCTGGAGTTCTCCCTTGTGCTTCAGAAGGTACCCGGAGTTCTCCACTGTGCTCCAGTGAGTAACTTGAGTTCTCCCCTGTGCTTCAGTGAGTACCTGGAGAAATGAATATTCAGGTTTCTCCGTGTATAATAATTAGTATGCAGACCACCACCAGTAGCCAACAATCATTAATATATTTTCACATTTACATATTTTACAAGATTTAGCATAAAAATGTGATTTTAGTTATTTCTTTGAGAATATCAAGAATAAAAGTATTCGTAAAATTATTAAAGGGACTGTTGTTGGGATTTCTAGTGACCCTCAATTTATCAGGTTCACAACAGAACCCGTTAGCCCTTTATCGGATTCACAACAGAACCCGTTAGCCCTTTATCAGGTTCACAACAGAACCCGTTAGCCCTCTATCGGATTCACAACAGAACCCGTTAGCCCTTTATCGGAATATAGGAAGATATCGAAGTTTTGATATCTTGAAGAAAAAACTTTATTTCTCTGAATTTCCTTGCATATCTCTGCTGTATAGATCCGCATGTTATTTTTATAGTAAACTGCTATTGAAGGAAAACTTACTCAGACAAAGTTTAGCAGAGTACAGTACAGTACAGTACAGTACAGTACAGTACAGTACAGTACAGTACAGTACAGTACAGTACAGTACAGTACAGTACAGTACAGTACAGTACAGTACAATACAGTACAGTACAGTACAGTACAGTACAATACAGTACAGTACAGTACAGTACAGTACAGTACAGTACAGAGTACAATTGTGAATTGGACATATAACTCTCTTAAAAGGGACTGTACGCGTAATTTCAAGTAACCCTGCATGCAAAGATGACAATGCCAGATTAACAACGGTACCCTAGAAACATTAATTTGATTAAAATTCTGGAGGAAACCGTCGTTTTTTCAACTCGAAAAGTATTTATTTATATATGTGAGTTTCTCCACTTCTTCCTCAAAACAAAGAATATGCTCATCACTTTCGCAAGAAACCTCCATTAAAAATTGAGCTTACAGTCCTTTTGAGTATCAATATTAGAAATATTTAAATGTATATTATTTTTGGATTATGTTCATTTCTCCCAAATATTTGTTTTTAACGCTTTAATAACATTGTATCGAATCTAACTACAGGGCAGGACAGAAGGAAGTGCCCCGCCCAATCCCTGCAGGGTCCGCCCTCCATACTGTCCCACCCTACCAACCCCTAGAGACTGCCACGCCCCTTATTCAAACAAACAAGACCGGTTGCATTTAATACTAGCTAATTATTCCTGGCTTCCTATTATTTTTGACTGAAAAGACTCAAAAAGAGTCAAAATTAATGACTAAAGACAAAAAAACTAGATTTTTAACTTTTCACACATTATAATTTATTAAGAGAGATATTTTTCCTGTTTTGCACTAGGGTTTCTTTCCCTTAAGCATGCTATTGAGAAGCTATTCTGAAAATATAGGAATAGGAATCTGTCAGGGGGGCGAATGTACCCCCGCCCCCCCCTGTATCCGCCCCTGTCACTGCACCTTCCATTACCTTTTTCCTGATTTATCATCATTATTATGTTTAAAATGTACACTATACAGTGTATCATCGATGGATTTACTAACAATTCTCATTCGCTTCTAACGGGCCAACCAATTAAAACAACCTAGTCTGGTTAGGCGGGTCCAAACTACATAGTAAATTGTGATTTTTTAAATATATATTATCTCTTGCTTTGTAGTTGAATAAAAATATGAAAATAAGAAATCTTCATTTTTTTTATTAAGATTTATGATTTGTAACTAATTTTAAAGTAATATGTGTAATAATGTTCAATTACAGTAGCAAATTACGTAGCAGAATAATTAAAATACATTCTTTTTTGACAGTTTTTTTGTCCCAATCTATATTAGGGAGAGAAACCCTAAAACAACATTTTAATTTTAGAAAAGAGAGGTTTCGTGATTTTTAGTTCTAATGAGTTCTGAATAACAACGGGTCAGGTCCGATTCACATTTTGATAAATTCTAATCCTTTATTTGATCAACAATGTCGTCTGATAAAAGTTGTTCAATCCAAATCTTATGAATCTAAAAAGTGTAAGATCGTTATCTATCTTATATTTTGCGACAATCGCAAGCAAGCAATTATTTAGCAATTTTCATTAAAATTGAAAAAAGGCAAATGCTTTAAATTCAGGTCTTTAACAGCAGGAAGGCGGGGAGGGGGGGGGGTTAACCTCCCTATGCATGCCCCTGATGTATATGTATGAAGTTCCTGCCTATCTATCAATGAAAGAAGGGTAGAAGGGTATATGTAGTGTAAAAACTTGAATCCACGCCAACCCCCTCCCTTATTCACTCACCCCCTCCCCCTCATCCCTATCTCATCAACACCTTTCTATCTCCTGTCCTTTCTCCATCTCTTCTGCCCCCCACCATTGAAAAAATAACACTTAAAGAATTCAATATTGTAGAAAATGCACCACAATAGTTCATTTTTCTAGGTGTATACTTTAAAGTTTGATTATTTGATTACGAAAAATGAAAATAAAAAGATATAACATTTTATTCAAAATGATTGTATGGTACGGAATGTTTTAAACTCTATAGATTTATTTATTTATTTATGACCAGCAAGTTAAAAGCTAGGACTAAATAAGAACCCGTACGACGGACTAACAAGCTCTTAGTGACCTTAACTCGGGATATCGTGGAGACCTAAACGCGGGATATCCTGGAGATCTGAACGCGGGATATCCTGGAGACCTGAACGACCGAA